CCTGAATGTTACATGTTGTACCCTAATGATTGTTAAGCATGTTGACAGTATATTGTTAGCGTTGCAGTATGGCGGGGATTGTACCCTAATGACAGTCATATTGTTAATGTTGCAGTATGTGCGGGATTGTACCCTAATGGTTAATGAGTTGTACCCTAATGACAGTCATATTGTTCATGTTGCAGTATGTGCGGGGATTGTACCCTAATGACAGTCATATTGTTAATGTTGCAGTATTGTACCCTAATGACAGTCATATTGTTAATGTTGCAGTATGTGCGGGGATTGTACCCTAATGACAGTCATATTGTTCATGTTGCAGTATGAGCGGGGATTGTACCCTAATGACAGTCATATTGTTCATGTTGCAGTATGAGCGGGGATTGTACCCTAATGACAGTCATATTGTTAATGTTGCAGTATGAGCGGGGATTGTACCCTAATGACAGTCATATTGTTAATGTTGCAGTATGAGCGGGGATTGTACCCTAATGACAGTCATATTGTTCATGTTGCAGTATGAGCGGGGATTGTACCCTAATGACAGTCATATTGTTAATGTGCAGCAGTATGCGCGGGATTGTACCCTAATGACAGTCATATTGTTCATGTTGCAGTATGAGCGGGATTGTACCCTAATGACAGTCATATTGTTCATGTTGCAGTATGAGCCCTAATGACAGTCATATTGTTCATGTTGAGCATGGGATTGTACCCTAATGACAGTCATATTGTTCATGTTGCAGTATGAGCAGGGATTGTACCCTAATGACAGTCATATTGTTAATGTTGCAGTATGTTTGTACCCTAATGACAGTCATATTGTTCATGTTGCAGTATGAGCGGGGATTGTACCCTAATGACAGTCATATTGTTAATGTTGCAGTATGTGCGGGGATTGTACCCTAATGACAGTCATATTGTTCATGTTGCAGTATGTGCGGGGATTGTACCCTAATGACAGTCATACTGTTAATGTTGCAGTTTGTGCGTTGTATAATGACAGTCATATTGTTCATGTTGCAGTATGGGCGGGGATTGTACCCTAATGACAGTCATATTGTTCATGTTGCAGTATGTGCGGGGATTGTACCCTAATGACAGTCATATTGTTCATGCTGCAGTATGTGCGGGGATTGTACCCTAATGACAGTCATATTGTTAATGTTGCAGTATGAGCGGGGATTGTACCCTAATGACACGCTTTCTGTTCGAATAGCAAGGAACGCATCGTTGTGGTGAAGGCGTTAGTTTTGAAGATCACTCACAAGTTTCATATCACCAGTTATTAAGATAATAACTGTCTATGTAATACAACGCTGGTGAGGGTCCATGTTGACGGCATTTTGATTGGTTTATTTGTTTAGTATGGCATATAAACGGTAGTGTTGAGAGGCATATATATACAGATATGAAGTGATTTTGTACCCTGACCAATCTATCACAAATCCATGCAAAATCAAGTAAACTGTTCCCCCAAATACAGAGGAACATATGGTACGTCTAATAAGGAACTATACTCTCCCTAAATAGAAGCGAAAAGGTGATATTGATATATGAAATTTCAAATACTTTTCCAAATTAGTGTTTGATTGTTATGATTTCGCCATCATAAAGCTGTTGTTTGTACTTCCAATGAATGCACAGCGCAAAAACGAACCTTCGGAAACTTTATTTTCACGTTTATGTTCGAAAGTGTCAACTTGCATGAAAATGCCATTAAGAAAATGGACGTTCAGTTCTGAGGAACCGTGAGCAAGGATATTGCTAATTTATGACCGGTTATTGGTATTTCTATCTACATTAAGGAATACAGTTATGCCGCTGTAAATTGAAACATTGCCATTGGACGTCTGGAGGCTGGGGAGTCTAAAACTGCCTTTGCACTACACGTCAATGTTCACCAGCGTGCCATCTGCCATTTATTGGACCGATATCAGCAAACCAAACCAGCGCAGGATAGGTACATCCGGGTACTTCATTTTGCAGATTCGAACTGTCACAGCAACTGCATCTACAATAGCAATGTCTGGTTTGAGGAGCGTGTCGGCGCACCACTCGAAATCTTTTACCTGGACTTCGCGCCAGAAGACCCTATTTTGGCCCTGCGCTGCTACGACTACATCGACGTTGAGGGGTCCAGTGGTGCAATAACGTTCTATTCTAGAATCTACAAAACTTGCTACGTGTATGGTTAAGTGACGTGACGGAAGAGCACGTGTCTATCACGTCGAAATGTACCTGTCTCGCTCAGGTTGACCGATATGGTGGTGAGAGTGTCATTATGTGGAGAGCCACATCCCACACGCACAAAGCTAAATTGTGCCCTCAAGCCAATTCAGCTGCTATTCGGTCCAGAGACGAAAATGGCAATCACATCCTTTAGCACCGATAGCACCTAAACCTCACTGAAGTTGCATAAAAAAGTTTGCAAGTTGCCTTCCGGCGCACATGGGATTATTTATAGCCGCTACGAATTGCCATTATTTCTGGACTTACCGATGCACAACATTTAATGCCGGGTACAATCGGCCGAACTGGAAGGTCATGGGAGCTGTTTTAAGTGTGTCCAGGTAAACGTTGGTTGTTACTAATATAATGGGCAAGGCAGACACATTTGACTGATTTCGGAGGAGTTTACCGAGATCACCTAATCGTCCTGCCTAACCCTCTCCCACATCACCAACTTCCACAGAGCCCTTATTACCTAACATCTGTAATTACTGAACTGTCTCATTGGAGCCGGCTAAGTCCTCAGGTAGAACAATATGTCACTAGGTCAACACAGCTTATGCGATCATGAGATTAACCTGGAGCAGGATATGTGGCAATATGTAAGTACATGAATTATTTTTATCTACTCTCTCCCTTTTATTTATCTACTCTCTCCTGTTATTTATCTACTCTCTCCTGTTTACTTTTCACTGTTTTTTCATCCTCAGCCGCGGAAAAAGTGTGTTAGATCAGCTAATTTTTCTTTAGAAATTATTGCCTTTTGATAAATCATATTCTTGGGGTTTATTTGAAACATAGTCTGTTGTAAGAGTTTGTCTTTACGTGCCAGTGAATTTATTTTTACCTGTGTTGCCATAGCAAACAAATATATTCAGATTTCTGCATAGAACAGTGAGCTTTTGAATGCATAATTTGGCTTAACCGTCCTCCTTCGAAAGTGTTTGGGTACATCAATGTTAACGAAATTAGATTCTACGTTTGATTCTGTAGCCGTCAAATATGTAAATTCGGTGTAAACATTAAAATGAATAAATGATAACTTTTTATAAAGCAGGCTCGAGACATTTGTCGAGTAATGCCTCCGTTAGAGTTAAGTTCGAATTTCGTTTGTTTGTTTGTTTGTTTGCTTGTTTATTGTTTAACGCCGCTCTCAGAAATGTTCCAGCAATATGACGGTGGTCAATAAATAATCAAGTCTGGACAAGACAATGCAGTGATTGACATCAGCATCCATCTACGCAACTGGGATACGATGACATGTGTCAACCAAGTCAGCGAGCCTGACCATCTACATATTTGCGAGTAGGGAGAGCTAGTACATTCTTGAATATTCTTGATAAGAAGGCATTGTTTAAATTCTGATGAATAATGTAGTCTCAAACTGCCAAATGACAGTGATTTACTCGTTGTAAAGCTTTTCAACATAATTAACAGGAATCATTATTTGGATCCCTTATCCATGCAAGACGATATACTGTCCTCGAGTTGTGTCTACATCCAAAGCTACAAAACAATACAAACGTACTTGTGTAGTAGCTACGAATGTGCATCACGTCTGTATACCTGATATGCATAACCACAACAATATACATGGCATGCATGTTAAACTAAGTATAATCATGATAATTGTATTTATCCCTGTGACTTACGTAGGCAGTGCAATTCAGAACACATTGATTGATTGCTGTTTAACGCCGTACTCAGCAATATTCGATCTATATGGCGGCGGTCTGTAAATAATCGAGTCTGGACCAGACAATCCAGTGATCAACGGCATGAGGATTCATCTACGAAATTGGGAACCGATGACATGTGTCAACCAAGTCAGCGAGCCTGACCACCTGATCCCGTTAGTCGCCTCTTACGACAAGCATGGGTTACTGAAGATCGATTCTAACCCTGATCTTCACGGGATCGTTCATGTCACCTATAACGCGAGAAACGTAATTCGGGATGAGTGAGTAATGACATCCCTTCTAGGTTGTCACGTACTTACACCCTACTGTGTCTATACGATATTCTCGACAGGAACATAACATATATAAGTCTAACCTAAGCATCAGATCTTTAACTCTGTCGGTGGTTCGTGTAACAACGCATCCTGCAATGAAAATCAGCCATAAAGATGGTAGTATGTTGTTATCCTGTGTTGTAATAGAACAAGGCTTGGCTGGCATGGCGTCAACGTAAGGTGTCTAACCGAGAAATTAACCCGATCGTTGGCCTGGCAGTACCCCCTTAAGTGGAGTATCAACGTACAACTGGCATTGGTTCACCACGAAATCCATCAAATCAATCAGCATTTTTCAAACGGCAGATGTGAATGAAATCTGATTCGAATTCATGATTAGCAATGTATTAACTTACAGTCGTTGAATCTCGTATCTCTCGATACAGTCGTGAATGTGCTCGTCTTGGTAGCTGCGATTTTTTTCATTCTGTTTGATGCACAGTGTGATGACAACCTTTGTCTGTTCGTTATATTATTTATTCAGCATCTCGGATACTCAAAACTTTTAAACTGTCTATAGCCATCGATTTGCAGTTAGTTTCTCCGTCTATACATGTCCTTGGTAATTACTCACGGTTGACAAATTCAATTTTGATTAATTTTATCCTGTTTTTACTTGCTTACCTCTCAGCCATGGTCTTGAGAACACTGCTTTACTGTAATCAATGCACGAGTTCGTCATGATCCAGCCAAGCATGACCCTTTTATGCGTTTAGATTAACGTACCTGTAAAAACCAGCATTAGCATATAGTCTGTTTCATAGTTACATGCAATGGAGAACGTGGCAGTTGTTGTTTGTTAGTATGTGCGGGGATTACCATGAATAGACTCTGATGAAACGCTTGTATTTCGAATAGGAGCTGTCAAGATCGTTACTGTGACGGACATCACAAGGTCCTGTCAGTCTGAAATAACAGGTTGTGTGAAAATACCGATCGGGTATCCAGCTCAGGTTTTAAGGTAAGTTGATGTTGATGTTTTGCCACGCACAACGTTCTACCTCCAATAAGTATCGGTGTGTCGTTCTATTGCCTGCATGTCACAGTGACCCGGTAAGACGAGTGTTCTTCTTTGTGAAGCAGAGCGTGATATAGTGTTGGCGGTCATACTCGTTGTATGATTTATTTTTGTTTGAAACATTTCGCATATTCAGATTCGATTAAATGTTTATACCAGTGTTAATCCTTGTTGTATTCGCTGTTGCCTGTGAGATTAAGTCAGTGGGGGTGGGGGTAGGGGTCGGGTGGGGGTTGAAACCAGCCAAGCGCAACAATAGTTCCCGATGCCCGCAGAGTCCACACTAATGTTAGGTGGTAAATCTTCATTTGTCGACTTCCCGGGCTTGAACAGTGTTGGCGTAGCTGAACGTATTTATACGTGTGTTAGTATAAGCGTTTGTACATTTAGTTTTGTTTATTGTTCAAACCCGAAATCAGCAATATCCACGTTATATAGCGGCGTGACTTTGAGAGAGCATAATAGATTCATTATTTGGAATATTATAAAACATATATTCATCCAGTGCACAATTCTATAACAGAACATGCCCTCCAATTGTTGAAATTGTTGATACTGATGTCATCAAAAGTTTCATATTATTAAATTCTGGACGTCTACATAGATAGCGTCCATGTGAACATGTAAGATATATATTTATTGATAGATATGAACTGGAGTTTCTGGTTGGTTTTGGAGATATCAAAACATATGACGTCCACTTGATTATCCACAGTATATTTCAGAGAATCGTGCAGAAAGATTCCACGTGGTCAAAGTAACAAGACGCCTGACAGTGTATACCAATGGAGAAAAACACCAACGTTTCATGTTCAACGAAGTCCAGCATTTCACATATGGTATGTTCAGCACACTTCAGATGACATGTGCGTGTATTTGTAGCAGATTGTACTGAATCTGTGAAGATAACTGTAATTTGTTTTACATGTTGATTCGCTAGTCAAAACTAAAACGTCAACTGAGAAGCAGTACAACAAACACACAACACAGAAATATGTTGAAATTAACAACTTTATTTTAAAATTAAATTAAAAGTTGACAAATCAATAATAATCACTACTAAGGTATAACTATGGCAGTAAGAGAGTTACAGTACAAGTTCAAAGGTAATATAAAGAGCAGTGATAAGCAAGTGAGCATCAAATGGTGTGATGGTGATATTCACCTGTCAACGACAGTGATGCAGCTTGCAACATAGACCTAACAGGACATTATGATCGTTACACACTGATCTCGCTGATCTTCTGGTAACTTTACACGTCATGTGAGACGAGAGGCAAGAGTGTTCTCCCTCTGATTAGCGTTAGAAAAAGATGGTGGAACATTGTCCGAATCCCTGGGCCAGAAATAGGTGGTAGCTTCCTGCAGGACCTTCCAGAACATAACACAAGCAATGTCACAGTCACGTCACACTACTGTAAACACATTTTGTAATGCGGGAGAGTAATATACATCTTTGGAAAATGAAATGTTTTGACAAATTTGAAATTGCTTCTTTTTTAAGATTTAAAAAGTGAAGAAATTCTTTTAGGTTTTGAGAATCCGAATGTTATTAGTTCTACTTGTCTGAAATACTTTCTGTAAATATAGAAAAAGACCTTACGGAATATCAGCATTGTGGTTGAGCTTTTGGCCGGGGAATTGGTGATACATTTGTTGCTCCCAATATATATACCTCGTTGTTCAATTTTGCATGGAGCTTTAGAAGAAGGGACGAGCTCGCAGTGCTACTCACCTACCTTCTCTCATCTGCTCACTGTGTTATAGGGGCGGTGGGGTAGCTTCATGGTTACAGCTTATTGCTCGGTTCGATTCCCCACATGGGTGCAATGTGTGAATGTACAATGTACGGCGACCCACCCCCACCCCACCCACCCCTCTTCCTGTGGACATTTTGATCTGACATGTGCGATATGATAAAGAGAAGAGCATCACGGTCGCCAGCACAAAGTTGATGGCTACGGGCTACGGGGTGTGTAGTGAACGCCATACCTCCATGCCTATACTTCTAGTTCAGATAATATGCAACTAATCCAACAGGAGTAAAACTGAAACTGCATACAATCATCATAAACATGCAGATACATATCGCTGGATCGTGATGATGTTTTGAAGTGTAATGTTCTGCCCTATATAGATCCAGCTGCTGCCAACAGAAGCCATGCAGCATGAATTTATGTTTACACACAGCACTGCACAGCAATTAACGGCACTTGCTTTATTAATTCAGCACTCATTTGAACATTGCTTCATGGTTACTAAGCACCATCAAGGAGAACATTTGTTAGCCTTTTAACGTTCAACTTCAGGCCATGAAAACAATCAGCCGTGTTTTATGTGTCATGTACATTCACAACACTTCAAAAACTCATTTCAGTTTAGAAGCACTTAAGCACTAGCACATATCGATATTTTAAAATAGCATCGACAAAAACTCTCCGATACTTAAGAGAATTTTGATAGAGCAGTGTCCAGTATATAATAAGTGTTTACTGATCAGTTAAAATAGTTATGGCACTGTGTGTTCGCGAACAGGTGAGCGTATCCTGGCCCACCTGTCAGGTGCTGTGCTAGTGGCTAGGGGTAGCCTAGTGGTTATAGCAGCCGCTCGTCACGCTGAAGACCCGGGTTCTATTCCCCACATGGGTGCAATATGTGAAGCCCATATGTGGTGTCCCTCGCCGTAATATTGCTGGAATATTTTCTCAATGCGGCGTAAAACGATATTCACTCACTCACTCTGTACTAGCATCATGCTTGAGCTTCATGATATCTTTCATTGACTAATAGTTAACACTTCTCCAGATATTGTCCTGGCGTAAACATCCCTCACACTGAGGCCTACATGTATACCCATTAAGATGTTTCTCAGATTCCCTAACGAGGGTGAGGGGATATGTAAATATTTTTAATCACATTTTTGGTTGGGACACTTTTACGTCTCGTCAGCGAATATAAATCTAGAATATCATACACAGATGCTTTTATGCTTTAAAGACAACATACAAAATAGTGTTGACGAGTATATAAATGGTTCAATGTTGACACCGGGTGTTCCCGAAATGAGTAATCATATCCTGAAACCGACAGCAGCCACCACTCACTGAATGTGCATAAAATGTTTGTTAGCGGCCTTACGGCTCATAATTGCCGCCCCCAAACTGCTATTATTCATGAACTCGTCGATGTACGTCATTAAATTTCGAGCACATGGATCAGTCCTACTGGGAAGTGATGGACGCTGTTTTACAAGTAAGACATGACAGTTCAACTGCACCTGGCGCCCTGACCGCCTTTAAATAAATCTTGGATCGTTTATGTCCTGATACGATTCTCACACAGACTATTTTCAGTTGAATTAATGATCTACTGCAATTCCTCAATCCATAATCAAATTATTGATATGTATTTTTGTATTTCTAGCTTGTGATGAGTGACGGATATTCTCCCGATGCCACGGAAGAACAAAAGGTTGTGGCGAAGGACGTGTTGAATAAGATAGCGGACAAGAATGTACAGGATACAGTTATATACGGTCGCTACACGGATACAAGCGACCGGTATGACATGGTAGGTTGCACCTGGGGCGGTAGTCTGGCAGCACCTTCATTTCCCAGACAATCACACAATGATACAAATATCACACACACCATACCACACCACAGGGAATCATTGATAAACGACACATTCACATATGCGCGCGATGTTAGATTTGCAGATACAGTGTTCCCGGCTGCTAAGAATGAATACCTGCTAATGAGAATTTTTGTTGTATTGGTGCACCGGTACCTCTAGGCCATCTGTGTTTCGGAAGCCGAATACGGAGCGTATACTTTCATAACATTCATTGGGAGAAGATACAGCTTAATGTATCATGGAATGTTGATATTCCGATCAAAATCGCTGAATATATTGCTTCAGTTTTCGTGTCCCAATACACTTTTATAATTATGAAAATACATTTACGGCCTCTGTACACAGGCTATGGACGTCTGCAACTACAACGGCCCGAAAGAGACGGCTGCCGTTGTTGCTGAATGCTTTACAAGGAACAGAGAAAATGTGCATCTTTTGGATGTAGCTGCTGGCACTGGTCTCTGTGCTGTAGAGGTATGTAAGATGCTCTGGTCTATGTGCTGTAGAGGTATGTAAGATGCACTGGTCTCTGTGCTGTAGAGGTGTGTAAGATGCATTGTTCTCTGTGTTGTAGAGGTATGTAAGATGCACTGGTCTCTGTGTTGTAGAGGTATGTAAGATGCATTGGTCTCTGTGCTGTAGAGGTATGTAAGATGCACTGGTCTCTGTGTTGTAGAGGTATGTAAGATGCACTGGTCTCTGTGTTGTAGAGGTATGTAAGATGCATTGTTCTCTGTGCTGTAGAGGTATGTAAGATGCACTGGTCTCTGTGCGGTAGAGATATGTAAGATGCATTGTTCTCTGTGCTGTAGAGATATGTAAGATGCACTGGTCTCTGTGTTGTAGAGGTATGTAAGATGCATTGTTCTCTGTGCTGTAGAGGTATGTAAGATGCATTGTTCTCTGTGTTGTAGAGGTATGTAAGATGCACTGGTCTATGATCTGTAGAGGTATGTAAGATGCACTGGTCTCTGTGTTGTAGAGGTATGTAAGATGCACTGGTCTCTGTGCGGTAGAGATATGTAAGATGCATTGTTCTCTGTGCTGTAGAGATATGTAAGATGCACTGGTCTCTGTGTTGTAGAGGTATGTAAGATGCACTGGTCTCTGTGTTGTAGAGGTATGTAAGATGCACTGGTCTCTGTGCTGTAGAGGTATGTAAGATGCACTGGTCTCTGTGCTGTAGAGGTATGTAAGATGCATTGTTCTCTGTGTTGTAGAGGTATGTAAGATGCACTGGTCTATGATCTGTAGAGGTATGTAAGATGCACTGGTCTCTGTGTTGTAGAGGTATGTAAGATGCTCTGGTCTCTGTGCTGTAGAGGTATGTAAGATGCACTGGTCTCTGTGCTGTAGAGGTATGTAAGATGCACTGGTCTCTGTGCTGTAGAGGTATGTAAGATGCTCTGGTCTCTGTGTTGTAGAAGTATGTAAGATGCACTGGTCTCTGTGCTGTAGAGGTATGTAAGATGCATTATTCTCTGTGCTGTAGAGGTATGTAAGATGCACTGGTCTCTGTGTTGTAGAGGTATGTAAGATGCACTGGTCTCTGTGTTTTAGAGGTATGTAAGATGCACTGGTCTCTGTGTTGTAGAGGTATGTAAGATGCACTGGTCTCTGTGTTGTAGAGGTATGTAAGATGCACTGGTCTCTGTGTTGTAGAGGTATGTAAGATGCACTGGTCTCTGTGTTGTAGAGGTATGTAAGATGCATTGTTCTCTGTGTTGTAGAGGTATGTAAAATGCACTGGTGTCTGTGGTGTAGAGGTATGTAAGATGCACTGGTCTCTGTGTTGTAGAGGTATGTAAGATGCACTGGTCTCTGTGCTGTAGGGGTATGTAAGATGCACTGGTCTCTGAGCTGCAGAATGTCACGCTCTATCGTTTAGAAACATTTACGGAAGTTTCTCTGTTGCAGGACATTCTAGTGCGCGCACGTGTGTGTATGTGTGCGTGCGCCGCGCGCGCGTGTGTGTACGATGACAAAAATACTCTGCATATGCAATAAACGATTTCAGATCATTACTATATAAATAGATATCTTCACGGAGTTCAGTGACACGCGGTAAGTGAGAACCATTGTGTAGTATTTCAGATGAATAATATGCTCATTTCTGGTGTCCACCATCGTGATATTGCAGGAATATTGCTAAATGCTCACTCACTCACTCACTCACTAATAATACGCTAAACACTATTGTATCTCTACTTTCTAATTTTCTAGCTTAATACCATAAGAATATATGTCCACTAGCTTCGCAAACATGGGTTCCTGAAGATGGACGCCTTGGACGCCAGTCCGGGGATGCTGGAGGAAGCTAAACGGAAAGGATTGTATGACCAGTACATTATTGACATTTTAGGAGAAAAGACGCTTGACATTTCAACAGGTGGGTAAATCATATAAATATAGAAAGGGATTTATGTTGTTCCCTAAAAACCTGCATATACCAATAGGGCGGCCTAGTGGTTAGGCGTTCGCTCGCCATGCCGGAGACCTGGGTACAATATGTGAAGCCCATTTCTGGTGTCCCCCGCCGTGATATTGCTGTAATATTGCTAAAAGCGGCATAAAACCATTCTCATTCTCTCAATGTTGCTACTAACTGTTTCTGTTTCACCAGATTAAACATAGGCGACAAAATGTAAAAAAACCCTGCATAATCATTAATATGCCTTCTCATCAATATACGATGTTCACTGGACAGGAGGGGGGCATGGGTTGATGTACCCTCTTTGGTTGTTAATGTTCCCCTCGCTCTTCGGGACCAGTGAACAACGTATTTACCTTACTGTACAACCCGATGTTAATTTTGAACTGTTTGAAGGACTGGTATCAGATCATAATAAGGAGTACCAGAGTTAGGCAATTAGCCAATACCGACGCGAGTCAAGAAAAACAAATTTAAAGTTAGCTCCCTTCCATCGATTTGCATTCGCAAAACATCGGTAATTTCCGTACATCATATTCGAGATAAAGAATTACTAACACGAATTACCAGATGAATTCCCACAGTACGGCATTCCCAGCGGATAACGTAGAAAATGTTACTCGCTTGTAAGCGGGGTACATAGAAAATGTTACTCGCTTGTAAGCAGGGTACATTGAAAATAATAGAAGAGCGCTAAGAAAACGACATTGATGCGTGAGGTAAGATAATATGCCTTAAAACTTTTGTGTTGAAACAAGTGGCCTGTCATACCCATTCGGTCCAATTCCTAACTGGCATTATTTCAGAGTATAACATGCAGTCCGTAAACTTGATGGTTGTGTTATATTTTAGCCATTATTTACAGATACATACGACGCCGTTGTCATGTGTGGATTCAGTATAGAAATCCTGCAAAGGCTACCGATCACCGCATTTGAAGAACTGATAAGGATAGTCAAACCAGGTTCGTGCTGACGGTACAATTAAATAGGCTGCTTATAACTCATCACTCGTTATAGGTTTTGTGTAGTCATATTTCGTCTCTAGATCATGCTTGTATTACCAAGCCATTGTCATACAAGACGAGGATAGTTGATACTTCCTACATCATATAAACCCGTATATACCTCAGACCTCGTGCTTCTTTACATAATTGGGGCGGTGGGTAGCCTAATGCTTAAAACGTCCGCTCGTCATGCCAAAGACCTGGGTTCGATTCTCCACATGAGTATAATGTGTGAAGCCTATTTCATGTGTCCCCTGTCGTGATATTGCTGGAATATTGCTAAAAGCGGCGTAAAGTTATACTCACTCATTCACGTTCGAATTGCCCTAATTGTGAGTGTTGATTAGTAAGAAGGTGTGTTACCAGTGGCTCCCACAGCATTCATCAGCTCTGTCTTGCTCCCCACATTAAGTTAACAAGCCGTGATGTAACTGAAATCTTCTCCAGGAGGCTACTTCATCAACACTGGGTGGATGATGATGTACACTGATGGCGGCGAGGTTAAAGCAGAACAGCTGAGAAGACAACTTAAAACATTGGAAGAAAATGGCAAATGGAAGTTTGTGCAACTGAAACATTTTAAGAATTATATAAAAGGGTTTGATGGCGCCGTTAGTGTCCATATGATCTGCAAATGATATATTGCATGACGTTTCTAGTCCATAAAGACTCAAAGACTCATGTACATACTACACTATTCTAGTACACTGACTGTTAGTTATAATGTCAGATTTTCGTTTACATTTTGAACACACCTTTATTAATACATTTGAACACACCTCTATTAATACATTTGAACACACCTCTATTAATACATTTGAACACACCTCTATTAATACATTTGAACACACCTTTATTAATACATTTGAACACACCTCTATTAATACATTTAAACACATCTCTATTAATACATTTGAACACATCTTTATTAATACATTTTGAACACACCTCTATTAATACATTTAAACACACCTCTATTAATACATTTGAACACACCTCTATTTACACGTTTGAACACTTGTAATTACTTGAGTTATAATTGTTTAACATAACGTAATAACACTGGTTTCGTATTGTTTGTATTAATGATATGACAAGAAGTCAGTTATTGCTTGTGACATGTATAATACACATTTACATGATATATTGTTGTTGTTCTATGTAGATATGTCAAAACCATATGTGCACTTTTTGTACGTCCATTTCATCGAGACATGGAATGTTTTATTGGAAGTCTTGTGAATGAATTTTTGTATTTAAACAAGAATAAATATGAGTTAAAGATGGTTTCTGAAACGCAACCAGTTTGTTGTTCGAAATACAACAAAGGGCTTGTTCTGGCATGACATCGTCGAGAAAAATGAACAGTAACAATGTTCACTTTAAACGCAATACATGACCATGGCTAATAGAGACAATTAAACGCAGTGTATACATTATTTCCACTTCTGCAGTCATTTCAGGTCCACTGTACAGGAGTCAGGAAAACATCTCTATGCATCGTTGTGAAACAGGGCCTCCTTTCACAAAGCACTAAGGTGATCGTAAGTCACTTTGTTCTGCTGCTCTGTTTCCATCGTAAACTTAAGGTGGTCTAGGAGTACATTGGGGTCATGATGGTTGTCTAGGTAACCTCAACTTTCCTGTGCAATGTTAATGAGATGGGAGAGTGGAGATGCCAAGGGTAGACCATGAGTTAAGGTTAACCTTAGTAAAGGTCATAACTGACTTCGAGGAGGCCCAGGTTCAACATACCACGCTGGGAGTTGTTGGGATTCAGTTTGTTGTGTATGATATCATTAATCTCACCTTTGTCATGAAGTGTTTTCAGGTTCTTCTTATGTTTAGATTCTAACTTTGCAGTTGGGTCCTTAGACACTAGTTTGTAGGTGGAGGTATCACTTAAGAAAATGAGAGGTCAGGTTGAAAGAGCATTGGTATGCTTCACAGTTTGGTGGTAGCTCGCCGCGTGACAGTGCTGCTTCAACGCTCATAAAAACATTTGGGATTTGGCACATACTGCAACGTTTTCAATATCTGAAAATCTAAATCAAATAATAGACTGTCTACGTAGTGGCATTCCAACCGTAACGATCCCATGAAGGATTTTGTCAAGACTCGTCCAACATTGGAACGACCATTAATTTTGCAGTAAACACCTTCGATACAGAGGTTCCTTCGATACAGAGGTTCCTTCGATACAGAGGTTCCTTCGACACAGGTTGCAGACACCTGTGACGACACAGGATGTTGGGTCGTTATGACCTTGGCTGGGATACCAGATGCAGAAGGACGTCGATGACTGTGGCTGAGGCCAACTTGAGTGTTGTGAGTGAGACGAGATATTGCAAATGGCCGTTTTATCGCTTTTGCAAAAGAACAGCCCTAGATTGACGTTTCAACACGATAACTCCCGATCACTCGTTGCTCGAGTTAATGTGTTACCCTGGCTCGTAAGATCCCCTGATTTGTCACCAATTGTACACGTGATGGAGCTACTATTACGACGTCATCCGAATCCTCCAACTACGCTGCTGAAACTCCGCCAAATCCTTCCTCGGATATTGAATGATGTTCCCCAGAACTTTCATCGACGTTCATTGGCCTCAGTGAAGCGAAGGTGCCAGGTCTCCATCACAAGCGGGACACACTCGCTACTGACAGTGTGTACTTCCTTCTGAGCCCTCGCCTATGTTGTGGACTGTTGTTCCTCACCATTCCTTGGAACATTTGTCTTTCCATCTCATTCGCGTCATTTAAAGACTATAACACCGTTTCTGTTTGCGTGTCACAGTAACTTTTGCCTTGGAGGATTTCCATTAAGTTCTTAAATACACTGCTTGCCGTGTGTGGGACAAGGTCTCACTTTCAAAGCAATATCGGTTATCGACCCTTACTATACTCTTTTGGATCGTCGAGCATAATGAATACAGCGGGTATAATGTTGTTGAATGGGGGTGATCATTTCAGTTCGGAAAATCAGTAATAGTCTTTAAACAGACATTACCGCCTTTGGAGTTTCTGGCCCTTGAACATTATTTTTTTTCATACACGACAGGCACAAATAATGTGCAGGATGCTATTTCGTGAGCCAGCACTCCTCTTGAAGAGGGTGCAAGTCTTGCAGTTGCTTCGTGCTGTCGCTGTTATGAAGTGACACCACAGGCCCGGCGTCCCATACAGACATCACAGTATATCGGCCACTGACCACTGACAAGTTTCGTCACATCTTACACATTCAATGTATTGCCTTTGATCTTCGTACGTCTGTATGTGTGGTTTATGGCCGCTTTTAGCAATATTCCAGCAATATCACGGCGGGGGACACCAGAGATGGGCTTCACACATTGTACCCACGTGGGGAGTCGAACCCGGGTCTGACGAGCGACCGCTTTAACCACTAGGCTACCCCGCCGTATAGGATAGTGAACTTCCGTTGACAAAATATCCTAAAATCGGAAAAACTATTCATTTTCCTTTCTATATTGGTTGCATGTCTCTATTTGCTGCTGTCGAGTCTAGTTAGAGATCCTGTTACGTCCATGTATAGCTTCATACATCAATATGCATCTCAGGATAGCAGTTGTAGTAGTGTGCATATATTATGCAGAACAACAGATATACTGCACAGATGACTTGCATTGCATTGGGCTAGTCTGTTCGTTTAGGCAAGCACTTTTGTTACAAACAAAATAATATTCTGGTCACGTGATATGCACATTAGCCGTATGATATGCCACCACGGATTGTGATGATACTGCTAAGTGCAGTGGCGATGATATCTGCCATAGAAAATGCTCCGGGATTTCTGACTTTTTGGTGTCCCCCCGAACACCCTCTCTCCTCGGATGTCCATCATGCTGGTGGATGCACAATATGCCATTTGTTGAATATTGTTTATACTGAAATAATATATTTCAAATGCCCACCGATTGTGAGCCGATAATGTCTGTAAGCATTATGGTAACCAATCTGGGACCATCCGTAAATCATTTAAATGGAGACCGGATAGGAAACAGGATTTCATTGACACTTTGAATTCTCAACCTTTCTCTGACAAACTAGATAGTATTTGTAGTATTCTAGATCGGGAGAATGTAGATGCTATTGACATTGACAGTTGTGTCAGTTCATTCAACAGTCTGTTGGAGGAGGTGGGGAAGTCTCATTTGATTGGCCCTCAGATCAACGCACGTGCGAAGCGGGGAAAGTGTTGGTTTGACACGGATTGTGATGTGCTTAGGTCAGAGTTCAAGGCAGCGGAGTCATGCTGCAGGAAAACTGGGTCAGATACAGATAGGATAACTATGGTAAATTGTAGAAACATTTATAGAAAGACACATAAAATTAAAAGTAGAAATTCTGCGAAAGATTCCGCTAGGTTATTATCTACATTGTGTAAGGAAAACCCTACGCAATTCTGGAAAAGTGTTAGGCCGAAGTCGATTGATAGTACACATGGTGTGTGCAATTTTGCTGAGTATTTTGAAAAGTTGTTGAATCCTGATATTGTTCCAAAGTTAACTGATGAGGTGGTCGAGGTGACTAGGAAATCTGCCAACGGTATGGTTCAGCACTGGGTTGACGAGTTAGACCGTGCCATTACTGCGGTTGAAGTACATGTGGCAATTAGTAAGTTGAAGTGTAATAAAGCAGCAGGTTACGATGGCATTATTAATGAATTCCTTAAGGCGGAGAAGATACCTTATCTCCAGTAATTACTATGTTATTTAATGCTATCTTAAAATCTGGTAAAACTCCCTCTGAACTGAGAAAGGGCGTTATTGTCCCCATTCATAAAAAAGGAAGAAAATTAGTTGCAGATAATTATCGAGGGATTACACTTCTCTCTTGTGTCAGCAAGTTGTTTACGAGTGTTTTAAATAACAGAGTTAAACAGTGGTGTGATAACTACTCCCTCTTAGCAGAAGAACAGTTTGGTTTTAGAAAGAGTTATAGCACGGCTGATTGTATGTTTATTCTCCACGGACTGATAAATTTAGCCTTGAGTAAAGGGTTGAAATTATATTGTTTTTCATTTGACTGTTATGTTGATAGGCAAGCCCTTTGGTTTAAACTCTATTCTTTGGGTATTAGTTCCAAATTTCTATCATTAATTAAAAATATATACATAGATGTGTCCTCCTGTGTTAAACTGGCCGGAAATAGGTTTGCAGAGTTCTTTTCATCAAATATAGGTGTAAGGCAAGGGGAAAATTTATCGCCTATATTATTTTCAATGTTTATAAATGATATTGTGTCTGATCTCTCTGCTTGCAATGATATTGGCATGACAGTGTTTTACATCAAGCTATTTATGTTATTATTTGCTGATGATGTGGTCTTGTTCAGTGAATCCGTCGAGGGCTTGCAGCGTGGTCTTGGTTTCTTACAGAGATATTGCGACAAGTGGGCCATCACTGTTAATACGGTTGTTATTTTTTAGAAAGGGGTAGATTGTCAAAGAGAGAAATCTGGTATTATGGTGATCAGGTACTAGAAAATGTTAATAGTTTCAAATATTTGGGTATTGTCTTCTCTCGGCAACAGGTAGTTTTCCCAGGCACAAAAGACTCTATCAGGAGCAGGCTATGAAATCCTTATTTTCGTTACAACGAATATTGTTGTCCACCCATATATGTCCCCTGCGCAGCAGTATCAATTATTTCAAAGCTTAGTACTGCCAATTTATGCTATGGCTGTGAAGTTTGGGGATTTATGGAAGCGCCAGCTATCAAAAGGGGTCCACAGTTTATTAAGCAGGTTCTGCGTGTTCAAAGATCAACACCATCAGCTTTTGTCTATGGTGAAATGGGCGTACTGCCATTGATTACTATTAGATTAGTACGCATTGTGAAATATTGGATTAAGATTATCACCTGTGACGGAAACCGATATATAAGCATTATATATAGGGCTCTAGTCGACAATGCTCGGCAGAATCAACATATACGACACGGGTTACTCTCATTAGAGATTTGTTGTTTCATTATGGATATGGTTTTATCTGGTTACAACAGAAATTGACTCTAAATTGTACAGCATTTATCAGTGCTTTTAGACAAAGGGTTATTGATATACATTCTCAAATGTGGAAATATAATCTAAGCTCACTTAGTGAAACAAGAATATATTTGCTTATCAAATCATCACTTACCATGGAAAAGTATTTATCTCATATTGATATTATAAACTATAGGGTAGCCTTGACACGACTACGATTATCTTCTCATTCACTTATGATTGAGAAGGAAGATGGGCTCGACCAAAACTAGCTTTAGAAAACCGATTATGTCCTTTT